CAGAGATATTTTCGTTATCTTTTGTTCCTGTTCTTTCATGCTCTACCCTGTCTGATGTTTTTTCCTCTTTGTGTCTCTTCTGTAAGGTTTAGGAGGCAAATTGTAAGAAACTGGGCCTGTCTTTATATTGTGCTAGCAAAGATTTCCAGGAAATTTGACCCTACTTTTGCATAAATACTCAAATTCTGCTGTATTTATTACTGCTCCTGTTGGTTTTCCTCAGACTAATAATCCTTGTGTATGAAAAGTAGGGATCATTCATCTTCCCCAGTAAAACAGAGCAATTGAGTGGAAGTAACATTCAGACAGACAAAAGGCCAAACCCAGAGCCTTTGCAGAGAGTTTTCCTTTTAGATGAGAAATCAGTGACCTGGGACATGGAGGACCATGGCAGGATTGAGGGGAGGAGGGAGCTGCTCCTCAGAACAGGTTTTTGGGATGTGGTATGACAGTGATTACCCGGAAAACACAGCTGAATGCAAAGTGGCAGGGAAGCTGGGGAGCCATGATGCTGCTGAACCAAAACTGAAGGAAAAGGTGCTGTTGAACAAGCTGGAAAGATTGAAATGTGTATTGGTTGGAATTGATAACAAAGTACACTGTGTTCCTTTTGGCTGCAGAAACCAAGGGCTTATAAAAACAGCGTATCCCAATGGCAGGGCAGTAATGGCATGACTGAGGAGCAGGATATGTAAAAATGTATAAAAAACTTTCTCATGGTACCTAAATCAGGAGGAGACAGATATTACCCTGGATCTACAGGAGAAGAGACTGATGGAGTCATCCTGGCTTACACAGAGTAGAGCACATGGCAAATTGGAATTTTACTGGAAAGGTTTTTATCTTCTATTTTAAAGAGATTTTGACAGCTAAGTGCAAACTGTTTTGTAAAGTGTCAACTGTCCAAATAGTTTTCCTAGAAGAATAAAACTAATAAAGGACTTTAGAAATTAAAGAACAAAAATTATACATTCTCTTTTAAATGGAGAAATAATTTCAATACATTGGTTCTTCTTCAGGATTCCATGGGTAAAATTTTTTTGTGGATGAAAAAATTTCCTAGACTCTTTTTAATTGGCATAACCATCTATAATAATTTAAAGGTCCTGAAAAAAATCACAACAAGATTCTTTACTGCAGATCATCCATAGCCTCTGTATCTTGTCTTAAATTATTGTTAAGGTTAGAGAACAGTTATTACACACTTTGACTTCATAGATGTAAATAAAAATACAAATATCAAAAATTCATTTTTTTACTGGTGGAAACTCTTTCTTAAGAAGTACAAAACAACTTTATATTTAGTAACCAAAAAAAAAAAAAAATTGTTTATAACCATTAGTGTTGGAAAAAAGCAAAAGATTCAAGGACCAGGGAGAACTTAGGGCCCCTTCTAGTGCATAAAGGAATTCTTTCCTTTGAGAGTGGTGAGGTCCTGGCACAGGTTGCCCAGAGAAGCTGTGGCTGCCCCATCCCTGGAAGTGTCCAAGTCCAGGTGGGATGGGAGTTTGGATAAGCCTGGAATAGTTGAAGGTATCCCTGCCCATGGATGGGCAGGAGATGGGTTATCTTTGCAATACCTTGAAGCCCAAACAACCCAAAACTTTCTATAATTTTATGTATAAGTGGCATAAACAAATATGCATAATTTACTCACTCAGTCTACCGACACTAGGAGTTCCTTACTAAATCCACTGACCCACTAATACAGAACAGCACTAATTACCAAGTAGTGATTGTCTATGATTTTGTGACTGTGATTAATGAGCCTGATTTTCCACTGTATGATTATTGATTGGAACAGCATCCAGTCATTTTGCATGGATTTACTACTCCAATTGCTCAAACTTTGCCTAAGATACATGCGAAATATGGAAGTATTATGCCACATTTTAGTCAATGTATCAGAGTTCAGCTAACACGCAAGAAATTTCAGAGCTGATCTTGAGCACAGCAGAATATTTGCTGCCCTAATGTGTCCTGCAAGAACTGGTGGCTGCTGAACACTTCCAAAAGGAAAGAAATATACTTCAAAACCTTCAATCTTGCTCTGCAGTTACTGAAGATTTGCAGGATATATTTTCTATCTTTTGCAAAACAAGGCCTTGCAATAGAAATGAAATTGGATTGGAATAGCAGCTGGCTCCATCAGGCATACGAGCTAAATTAAAAAAAAAAAAAGAAAAAATAAATAATTGTTCTCTGTAAGTTTAGCCAGATGGTTGGCAATCCAGACTAGTTTCAGAGTATAAATATATATGTAGCTGATTTGTCCACGCATTTTTTTATTTATTAACTAAAATTGCCAGGCAAGTGAGAAATGGTGATGCAAAACCACAAATTATATAAATATTCAAAAAAAGGAGCAGACAGTTCACTTCTACTGGCACCACACACATCCCAGAGGAAGAATGCTGTAAACTGTCAAGACAAATTTGTTAAAAAATGGATATGTAGCTGACTTTTAAAAAAAATGTCATATCAATGCATCCAAAAGACAAAGAAGCCATGCTAGTGAGATTTCTACAGGAAGAGAAAAACTTTTTTTTGTAGTAAAGGATTCAGGGTTCTAGTGAACAGCAAGTTGAATAAGAACTATCAATTTCCTCTCTGTGGTGTTGCCATAGAAAACCTGAAGAATAAAAACTCCTCCTCATTGAAAGTATTAGTTAAAGAGAGCTAGAAAATATGCTTTATGTTCGCAGATTTATGATTGTGTATTTCTAAATACTTCTGATTCTAGAGAGAAAAATAATAAGGAAATAATTTCAGCTTTCAATGGAATTTTCCTTTCCATGAAACATTTTTACTCTCTTTTGGACTTCTTTCTCACACTGTCTTGCACACATAGGAAAATCTCAATATAATGAATATTTGCTGAGACTCTTCATTAATCTCCTTGAAGCAATCTTAAAACCCCTACTGACATAGAAAACTGAAATTTCAGCAGTTGTATGCTAAGCTGACTACTGCAAATGTCTTGAACAGTCCCAAGTAGCCCCTACAAGTGGTGTCTTTTTGCTCAGTAGGTGTCATTTAAAATTCTAGTGTAGACTACCCTCTCTCTCTCTGCACTTTAGGCAAAGCTAATTATGATAATCAAAATAATAAGAAACATAGTAATGCAACTCTGCATTGTATAATTTCAAGTATACTATTTGAAGCCACTCCTGTTAATTCTTAAGAAGGCTACAGTCAGAAACTGTAAAAATTGTTATGAGTGAGCCCCTCTAATTGCTCTCCATAATCTTCTGTCCTTCCTGAGACCTACTTTTCTGTTCGCATTTGAATTACTGTGTTCTTTCCACTTCCTCAGCGCTAGGCAGTATCTGCTACACAGTTTTCTTTTCGGCACTTGTTTTCTCCTGTGTGAGCTTCTAGTGACTTCTGCGATTGTCAGAGACACAATGTAAGAGGCTTTTTCAAGGAATCACAAAATGGTTTGGGCTGGAAGGGACCTTAAAGATCATCTGCTTCCAATCCCTCCGATGGGGGACACACCTACTGAACAGTCAGGTTAAAGCAATGACCTCAAGATCAAGTGTTAGAAGAATTGTTCGATTTTGCACAAGCGGCAAAATCTTCTGTTTATCCTGATGTATTTTGTTTAATTAGAGGTTCTTGGGAAACCCCAGTATGTGTAATTCCATATTTTGGAATTACAATGGGGCTAGAAAATAAAAAGCTCCTTGGTCTTACACAAAGGCATTGACTCTTGATCTCTTATATGGAACACACCAAAGGAAAGGTTGGCAGTGATGTCTGGAAGCTCCACAGAACAGCCAGACTGACAATAATAGTCTGAGAGCAAGACAACCCCAACCTTTACATTTTCATGTATTCAAATGAGGTTACAGTGAGGCTGTAAATACCTGCGTGACCTGAGAGTGGAATAGGGAAACTTTGAAATCCTGTAAGAGATTTTTAAACCCTGTGCCTCCAAAAGCTGGGAAGCAAGAAGGGGTTGCTGTTTGCAGGCAAGGCATTTGTACAACCTCTATAGGCAGACATAAAAACCTCTATATACCCTCTTTCATTAGAAAGGGTAGGTATACTACCCTCTTTTCAACAATAATTTTCTGTTCCTTACTTTTTGTGGGGCTGAGTAGTCATAAATCCTTGATGTAAAGGGAGAGGAGTAGAGGGATCACAAGCAATGTGCACAATTTAAGCTTTCTCTATTATTCTGTGGAGTTCTTCATTTTGAGGGAGATGCAATGAAAGAATGCAGCATTCCCTGCTCTAATAAATATTTAGGATCTTGTTCCCATGACTGAAGAGCTTCAATACAGATTCTTGCCTTGCTGAGTGAAGTTGTAGCTCCTCTGCCACTTCAGTGAGCAAAACCATGGGACTGAACTCCTGAGAAAATGGTGGGGAGGGAAGAAACATTCCCTGAGAGTACTTGAGTGATATTATGAGTCCAGAAATCATAAATTTTAGCGCCTGCCATTTTATGGCAATTGATGATTGTTTTGTTTTTTTGTTTCTATCTCAACCCTCATTATAAGAAAATTCTCCTTGCTATCCCCTTTATGAGGTAAGTACCACCTGTCAGCTTCATGTAGAGTCATTCCAGTGACACCTGGGATGAGAACACACCTGGCTGATAAAACAGAGTTGCTGCTTAACAGTTTCACCGCTTGGGCTTTTGGCTGGCTTCGCGCAAATTGGATGCTTCAGCAGACCATGTGGCAGAGGGACTCCTATAATTAGTTTCTCGTGCATATGCTTAGATGAAAAAGGTCTGAAGTAAGAAGGATTTCTTCCACAAATAATGTTTTGAATGTTGGAGTTGTGAGGGGAGTTTTGGCTTTATTTTGTTTTTTTTTGTTGTTTGGAGTTTTGTTTTTTGCTTGTTTTGTTGTTTATTGTTTTGCTTTGTTGAGGTTTGTTTAGTTGATTGGTTTTTGTGAGTTTTGTTTGGTTTTAGGTTTTGGGTTTGGAGGTTTTTTTTGGCTTGGAAATAGTACTTTATCCCAGTTTTCTTCTAAATTTAGGAAATACAGGAAGAGGATGAGAAGGAAAAAAGAAGACAATCAGTATTATCACACTGGTCTCCATCCAACAGTTCAGTGAGCTGTCTTCTTTCAGAACAGGAGTCCTTCTGATGGGTTTTCAACTTCCTGATTGTTGAAGTGCTATGAATAATGACTGGAAACTTTGTTACCACCACATTTTAAATCTAAAAATCATGAAGTTTATCAGCAAGTTATTAAAAAAGAAAAAACAATGAAATCAAAACCTCAACCAGAGAAACAAAAGAAAAAAAATCTGAAAGAGGGAAATTAATAAATACCAATCCAAAACCCAATCAGCTTTGAATATCCAGATTCTGGCTGTCTAGCTTCAAATGTCACCACCAAGTATAATTTTTTTTAACATTGGATGTCCTTGTTACTTTCTGATGCAGCAAAAACTTAATGGTCACAGCAAAACTAAAATTCCATGTTAATAAGATATAGATACAGAAAATTATAGCCATCTGCATTCCTCCATATTAACAAGGACTACAGATTTTCAATTAGTTGACTCCTCTGTGAAACAGACTTTAATTTTTAGGGAGAAAATACAAAAGCCATAACTGGATCAAATCTCCATTAAAATTGCTGGTGAGGGGGTCTGAAGTACTAAATCAGTGTGCAAATGAACCTATCAGTAAAAAAGGTCGATATTTTGCATATATATCTAAGTATAAATAAGGAAGAAAAATGTAGTGTCTTACTAATGTAGAGATGGCAGACTATGCCTTGCACAGAATACACAGCACAGTATCTCAGAAAAAGGGAAAAGTTCCAATTTTTTACAGTGGACCACAGGCCTGGGAGCTTGCCCTCAGAGATTTAATAAATAAGGGCAGTGACGAAGTTTTGTTATAATATTTGACATCAGATTGAGCCAAACTGAACTAGTGGGGTACCTTTCAGTGAGAAGATAATTGATTTTGTCTGGGGAATATATTAGATCTCCCTTGTTTGGACTTCAGTGAAACATTTGATATGGCATGCAAAAGAAATTCCAGTGATATTTAGGAAGAAAGGGATGAATATTATAATTGCATGATGGATAAGATGATGTCTACCTAGGCACCCATTATCTTTTTGAAAGCTGAACTGTATTAGTAGAGAAGATTTATTAATGGTGTTTCTCCAAGACTATTCAAGGCAGGCATTGATGGTGCTTTTTATTTATTTATTTATTTATTTTATTTTTTATAATAAAATTTGATATAATGTCAAATTAACAAAAAATGATTAAGTTTAGTGAAATTGTGGTAACTATTGCACAGTATCTTTCTAGTAGCATGTAAGTGTAACGTCTGAATTGTATCTACTTTTAATTTTTTTCTCAATTAATTAATTAACTAATAACAATTTATTCCTTAAGGAAATAATTTAACAAAATTTCAAAATATGTCAATTACAGCCTTTATTGCCTGTCGGTCCTGGGTCATAAAAATATATCTGTGAACAAAGTAGGAAGGGTGATGAAAGATTTAGGCAAAAATTACAATGAAATATAAATAATATTAAATATTGAATATAAATACTATTAAATGAACATATCTAGACTGAAAATCACAATGTTTCTAGCAATAAAACAAAGGAAATTTGGAAGGAGTTGTATATTTAGGATATCAAGAAGAGAAATATACCCCATTTTAAGAGGTGATTTTTTAATGAAAGGGATTATATGAGATGACTGTGGATTATATGGGAAACTGATTTTGAGGCAATCCTTGCTTCTTATTATTTTTAATGTCTCTGTGTCTTACAATTAAAGAGTCCTAAAATGTGCCTAAAGAGGCTTTTTTTATAAGACTTTTACTTACTGAATTACACCATGAGAAGTTTTATTGGTAATTAACATGCTCCAGACACTGCCGGAAATTAATTTCCACAGAGGTATCCTATGGCTGATGGGATCTCTGCTCATTTGCTGTGTCTGGTCAGCCTTTGGCAAGACATCAACTTTGGGTATTTGCAGTGGAGGCAGGAAAAAAGGCATGTGATTTTATTTTCTCTAGAGATTAGAAAGGTTTAGAGATCATAGATGAGTTCCACTTTCAATCAAGGCAGATTTACCACCTCTGAAAAATGGTTAAATTATTCAGATTCTTGTTTTAAACAAATTCCAACTTTGGGACTGATGATGTGTATTATTATCTGCTTATTTCCTTACTTCTTGTTTGCAGCTGTAATTCAAATCAGTGTAGTCAAAATAATTTCAGTAACTCTAACAAATTATGGATGTAATTATTACTGAATCCATCTCAGAATGCAGCTTTATTTACAAAGGACACAGCATTGATTAAAACAGCTTGAATTATGCTAACTACAACACTGAGATCTCTTTGCAAAACCATCTGAGAAGCACAGTAATTTGAGTTCAAGGGAGAGGCAGTATTACAAGGAGGCTAATGATAATCGTGTTTAAAGTCATTGGCAGCTAAAGTACTTACTGTACAGGAGCCTTCTGTCAGAGACAATTATAGTGAAGGGCCTTTGAATGGGGTCGAAAGACTCTGAGTGTGTTTCTGTGACAGCTTTGTTCTTACAATACTTATTCTGGCTTATCTGTAAAGCAGTATTAAATTTAGAGTGTCACAAGCCAAGGGGCTCATGAAAAACTAAATTGACAGTATGCAACAATGTGGTAGTTACACTGCAGCCTTTCTAATAATGGCACTGCATTGTTAGATCAAAAGCATCCCCCAGGACCCCGGAAGTAGCACCAGTAGTCCTGTTCACATGGATTAGGAAAGCACTGTTCACTGCAAAAAGCTGTCAGGAATAAAGAAAAACCTGCTAGGATCACCTTGTTTTGTATCTGGTCATCAGCCCACAAGAGGTATTTTTGAATGGTGTCCCAGTTTTGCTTGTTATGTGTCTATTTAATTTAATTTAATTTCATTTCACTTTTGTTTTTGAGGAAGGAGGCAGTGGGTGAGTAGTTTAGCTTCACGTGCTCTGGTGTATCTAAGTATCTCACAGCTTTCAATTAGTTTAATCTCACCACTAAATTCGATGGTTCTGTGAATATTTCAGATTCTTTCACTAGTTCTGAACTTTGAAGATTGTTCTTTATATTACCTCCTATCAAATAATGACAACAGTGTTTTATGGAACAAGCTGCCTATCAATACACTCTTATATTATTTTTTGTCCTCAAAAATAAATATATTCTTATATTATTGCTTATCTATTAAAACAAAACATAGAACCAAGAGAGGGTTTTCATGGGAATCTCACTTGAAGTAAGCTTGCCTATTCTGTTTTCACGGGAGACATTTTGCAAATGTCAGTCTTTGCAATTTTTATGAGAAAAATTAGCTCATCTGGGTCCTGTCCTCTATGAGGATTAGTCAGAATTGAAAGGAAATATTAAAAAAATAGTCTATAATTTTGAAATAGCTTTTTAATTAATATCTGAATGCATGGATTTAAAAGAACCTTAGCATTTTAATGAAAAAATAAGGGAACTAATAATAATGTTGATTCATCTTCAAGCAGGTTTAGGATTAACTGTGAAAAACTGAGATAGCATTTGCAAATGTCTGACCAACTCCATTATTTGTTTAAAAGCCTTTAGTGCAACCTGCTGTAATTTGAAGTCTTATGCTTATATCACAATTATGAACCAGACTGTCTTATCAAATAATAATTTCCATTATTTTGCCCTTTAGAGAAGTTAGGAAAATAAGGGTAGATTAGACAATGTATTTCCTTGAGCATGTGCTTCTCAACAGACTGTACACTCAGAAGATATGGGAAGACAAGAAACAAGAAACAAAAAAGCTATTTCCGTAATGCAATGCAATTTTTTTTTAATACATTTGCCACCTTCAGTCTTCAGCCAGTTTACAGGGCTTTATTTAAACAAAACAAGCTGGGATAGCAAAATGTTACTTTGCATCACGGATATTTGAAATTGAAAAATATAATTGATAAAAAAATTAGTTTTCCATCCAAAAACCATAGTGACAGGCATTTTTATTTTCTTTTTTACAGAACCTAATATGAGCACTCATTACTTTACAGCAAACTTTGACCCACTTACGCATATGGATATGCAGAATTATTCTACTTATTTAATTTTAAGCAACAACCAAGAAAAGCAAAATCTAAAGCACATACATTACAGTGTGAATTAGCCACAGACATAAGAAAAACAACCACTTCTTCTTTAGCAAATTCATACAGAAGCCAGGCAAAAAGATATAGTTTTTTCCTAGAGTGTATAGGAAAATAGAAGTCAACGACACTTTCTGTTCCCTGGTGAACAAACATAATTTCCCTGTGTTTAAGCCTGAATACTTTTCATACGTTTTATGCATTAGCACAGTTCCATTTGCATGGTTTTGAACAGATGTCAGGCTCAAAAATAATACACATGGCCAGGGGTTCAGGGGTTTATTTTTTCATAAAGTGATCCATTTCCTTCTCCAGTGGGGAGGGAAAAGAGGAAGACAAAAAAACAAGGAAAAGCCTATCCTTTATTACTTGGTCATAAAGGCTGAGTTGGGAGGGTAGAGCCATTTGAGGAGGCCTTGCTGGAAGGTTTTGGGCAGTTCTGGGATGCACACACAGTGACTGGCATTTGGTTTCATCCTTTAAGGTGCTATCACCTCAGCACTAAGAGGCCTTAAATATTCATGAGTTTCTTAAAGGCTTTTGGGAAGAAAGGGCTAGAAAGGAGCATTAACATGCTGGTCTTTTTTTTACTAGCCTGTGTCAACGAAGGCATGTTAAATAATTAAGTCAATCTAAGCCACTTTTTGCACAGAAGGAGGTTAAGACTAACAGCCCCTGTGTGTTGGGAGATGCTACCTTTTCCACTGCTGGTGCTTTTAGGCTAAAGAAAACAAACACTGAAGGTTGAGTATCAATTAAATAAGGCACTAAAGCACCATTTGTTCCATTTTGTGAGCCCCTGTGTTAGATTAGGAGCGCCTTTTTATGGCTCCAGATGGAAATGTGACCTTGTAAAACCCTCTCCATAGACAATACATTCTCAGACTTCCACCAATGAAAAGGCTCATGCAAAAATTAATCACCCAGAAATTACTTGGTTTGCTTGTGAAAATACTGATTCTCAAAGGGCTGTCCTCCCAGTTCCTGCCTCTGATACCTTGTGTGTTATTTTCCTTTTCTGTGCTGAGCCTCAGAGAGTTGAGGAAGATGGCTCTCAGTGTCTGAGCATCAGAGACGCTGATTCTCCAGGAGGGTGCTTCAAATGCCTTGGGGAATTTGAATCAACAGGACAAGGATAGTTTTAACTGAGTCAAAAATGGGGAAAGCATGCATATCTGTCACGAAAACACATTTTGGGGAGGTCTACTCCTACAGACACTGACGCACACATGCACACACACAAAAAGGTTAGAACTAGAGACTACAAACCATCAGGCACCTTTAGGAATTATATTTTATGGTTTGAAATTTTATGTCCTCAATGGAATTGGGCAACAAAATGCAAAAAGTTGCCTTGGAATAATTTTTGAACCTTATGCCATGTAAACATCTGGCTTAGTTTTTATCTTTAAATAGTATTTAACTGCTTGGACAAATTTGGAATATTTCATGTAGGAGGGTTAGAAACCTCTTTCTGTTGTAGTTCATATTTAGAGGTTGATACCACACATAAGAAGGTTCAAGGCTTTTATCTGTAAAAAGGAGAAAAGGAATGTAAAATATCCCTCTGACATGGCAGGTGATGGTTGGGCTATTATCTGTTATGGATAGATTCAGGTCTCTAACCTTCATTCCTCGTAACAAATTTGACAGCTCTTACAACAGTCATGAGACAGACCGGAGGAGGGTAGAAATATTAGATGGGAATTGGTTTCCTCACAACTCTTCCAAAACATTCTTTTGCAGAACAGACAGCATTTGAAGTCTGTCAATGCATTTTTTTCCCTCTCAAATATATTTTTAATACTTGCTGTATTTATATCCAACATGTTAATTTCCACATATTTAACTGAGAAGAAAAAACATTACTTAAAGGGACTATTCTAACTGGATTTAAATCATAGTAGACCGAGAAAACAAAACAAAAAATAATACTGTATTATCACTATATTAAATGCAATATTAGCTGTGAAAACTAAAATCCCTCTTTTAAGGATGATCTAAGCCAATGAAAGTCAAGTTTGTTATGTGGCTATCAAATCAATCATTTGACAAATTAATTTGACACCAGGCTGCTGGATGGAGAGGTTGCTTCCATGGATGTTATTTTAATGTTTTCTAAACATGGGATTATTTTTATACCAGCCACAGGAGCATAAGTCCATATTAATAAAGACTCCCTTTTACTCAGTGTATGATTTCTATGCAGCATTGTTACCTTCAGCTTTCTTTTTCATTAATATTTAAGGAGAAAGTCACTTCACTATGATATTCACATTTCAGTGAGATCATTCCTGAAATATTGAAAATGAATAATGCAAGTTTCCAGAAATAGTCATAAATATAGCCTCAGTCTCCTGACCCCATAATACCTGCAGGTGGGGAAATATATTGGAGGCATTTTAAGATCCACATGCCATTGACCCCATTTTTTATATCAAGAAAAAGAGACAAACAAGGACAAAACCATCAGAGGGTTGTCTGATGTATTCTGGCCACAGTGAAGGTCTTTGCAATCATTTTCTGAGAGAGGATTTGCAAAGAAAGAAATCTTCACTGTGACATTGGACTAGAAATATAATCTCTCTGTGCTTTAGTTTTGCATCAGAAGTTGGTGATAATAACTACATCACGTTAGGAAATGTGGATTTAGTATTTTTCATAGAATGAGAAGAAAATAATGAACTTTTTTGAGAGATTATATGTTCTGGATGGTCTTCAAATACATCTTGAAATTCAGCTTTTCTTTATTGGAAAACTTCATTTTCCTGTTTTTCCCCTAAAGAGAGAGAAAATAAAATAAAATATATTTTATGTGCCAGAGGGTTTTTTTGGTACTCCCTTCCCTGCCTTTGTCTCATGGGTTTTTTACTGTAATATTTATTACATGTCTTTTACCTAATGGTGGTTAAATTCCAGGCACTAAGTAGGAAGTAAAAGTTGAAGAGATGGGTCATAATCTATCCAAGAGGGTCTAAACTTATGGTGCAGAGATCAATCTGTCTGGAGCTGAAATGAAAACTGAAAAAGGCATTCTGAAATAGGAATTCCCCAAACTCTCCTGACAGTGAATATGAACTGCTTCCTCACATTCTTTCTGGACTGTGAGAGAGAAATCCATAGAAACTAACTGGAAAAATTGTAGAGAACACCCAGAACTTGGTGGGGAAGTCACACACTGGAGGGATGCCATCCAGAGGGATCTGGCAAGGCTGGAAAAGTGGAACTAAGTGAAACTCTTGAACTTCAACAAAGCAAAGTGCAAAGTCCTAAACCTGGGGTGGAGCAATCCCAGGCACACCCCCAGGTTGGGTGGAGAAGTGACTGGGAGCAGGACTTGTGAGTGTCTGTGAGTGAAAAATCCAATATGACTTGCCAGTGTGCACTGGCTGCCCAGAAAGCCAAATGAGTCCTGAGTTGCATCCTGAGGTGTCTGGCCAGCAGGTTAAGGAGAGGGATTCTCCCCCTCTTCTCCAGTGCTTCCTTCAGCTCTGGGACTCCTAACATGAAGATATGGAACTGTTGGGGCAAGTCCAGAGGAGGCCACAGGGGGCTGATCTACCTCCTCTTTGAGACAGGCTGTAAAATTTGGGGCTGTTGAGCCTGGAAAAGAGAAGGCTCCAGGGGAACACCATCACAGTATTTTAGTATCTGAAGGGGGCTTACAGAAAAGCTGGAAATGGACCCTTCACAAATAACTGTATTGACAGGACAAGGAGGAATAGCCTCAAACACAGTGAAGAGAAATTAAGGTTATATATACTCAAGAAATTCCTGGCTGTGAGGGTGGTGAGGTCCTGACACAGGTTGCCCAGAGAAGCTGTGGCTGCCCCATCCCTGTGGCAGGTTGAACAGGGCTTGGAGCAACCTGGGGAAGTGGAAGGTGTCCCTGCCTATGACAGGGGATTGGAACCTGATGACCTTTGGGGTCCCTTCCAACCCAAACCATTCTAGGGTTTTATTGTGAGCAACCTGCTTTAAAATTACATTTATGGCCAAAAGAATAAATAATACATTTTGGGATTATTTTTGTTTTCCTGGTGGCTAACCAAAAAGTGTTTAATGCAACCTGTTTAGTACTCAAGTGCGCTCAGGGAATGAAGTGGTTAAAGACAATAAATTCTTGTTCTTATTGCTGTTCTGATCCTGGATTCTTCTGGTTTCTGGGATCTGGCTCAGTTTTAGCAGCTGCAGGTGTGAGACGGTGTGAAGCCTTTAACGAACATGTCTTTTGGTAGTGACTGTATGAAGTATTTTGCACTCAGCAACATCTCATTTGGCTGAATAAATAAAAAATTCTAAACAAACATCTTTTGCAAAGGCAAAAATGCTGTGTACTTTTGTTCGTATTTTGGACTCAGCACTTACTAAATACATAAATATGCATCAGCATGGCTTGTGGTATATGTGATTAGATGCTACATGGGGAGTTTTGTTGTTTTATAGTTGCTGCAGCAGCAGCAGTGGAGCACAGAGTACATGAAACTTGGATAATTGTAGATAGGAAACAAGCACTATTAGTAACAAATACTGGTTTATCCATAAGTTAATCTAGGGGTTTTTTTGTGTTGTTTGCAACAAGGACTTTAAGAAGACCATGGCTGGAACTCAGTGATATTTTCTGCCTCTCTTCCTGTTTGAACATGCAA